ACAGATTTATAATGAAATATTGGACACCTTTTTAATGCAAATCAAAGTTAGATTTGAAGATTTACTTAAATTAAACTACTTTGATTTGTTGTTGTTTGAAAAAATTCCATCCTATACCAAAGATTTTCCCCAAAAACTTTATAACGACCTAATAGCTCAGTATTCATTTTTCGATGTTATTGAACCGAAAAATGAATTGATCGTAATGTACAGCGACCCTCAAATGTTTCAAAATTGCAGGTCTCCTTCAGATTTATTAAATTTTATTTTTATGTTTGAAAATGAAAAATTAAAAATGATTTATATTAAATAACTCAAAGGCAACCCTTTTTTGTTTTGTTTTTTTAATGGTCAGTTTTATACGTATAACTTTCGGCAATACACAATTTTTGTTTGCATTTATGCAAATATTAAGTACGTATTTTGCTTTAAATAGGTGTGGTACCCCAAAAAATGTGAGCCTTCGGCGGGCTTTTCATATATAGTCTTCATGACTTTAGCCTTCCCTGTTCTTCAATGCACAAGCCGTCACTGTTTGTCCTTCCATAATAATCAAGATACACTAACGGTTGTTTAGATCATATTTTTGAAAAGTTGTATGTGAATGTAGCCTTCGAAACTAATTGCTCACTTCAACAAATGTTAGGTAACCTTAAAGATAAAATGTTGGTAAATGAAAGGTCGGGGATATATCAAATAACCTGCGAGGACTCACAAAAATATATCAATCAGACTAAGCAAGTCATCAAGGCCCATTGCAAAGAACACGCAGCACATATCCAATTTTGAAGACCAGAAAAATCTAATGTCGCTCAATATGTTTTGGAGAACAGAAATGAATGAAAACTGTCCGAAATTGTCCAGATACGTACATGTCACTAGATTGGATGCTTTCGAAAGGCTGGAAATAGCAATGTGTGACATGTGAACTATGAACAGTGATAAAGGTCCCATTCAAATCAGTCCATTGTATATTTTTAGAATTTGCGGAAAGCAAGAAACTCTTTGGAAGGTTCGAAATAGATGAACATTTCAACCTAGCAGACCACTGTTATAATGTTCATGCAGTCATTGTTCACTGTGGTTCTGACGTTGAATGTGGTCATTATTACGCCTTGGTCAAAGAAGAAACGGACTGGTTTAAGTTTGACGATAATCGTGTCACGAAGTGTTCTGGCGGTGCATTGAATTTATTGGAGTCTCTGTATTGTTTATTTGGGAAAACGTTAATGTTTTGAAGAAGTTGAGAAAATAAAAACGATATATGTTTTATGACAGTTATGTTCCGTAATGAAAGTAAAACTTCAGCTGTCATTTCAAAATGTCAATAATATCATTTGCCATGTGGTGTTTTGTATAAATTGTAAACCTCCCACTTCCCTGCAGTTTTGGTCGAAAATACCATTCGTGAGTTGAACAACAATAAAAAAGTGCATATCGTATTGTTAGATATCTCGAAAGCCTTCGACCGTGTTTGACACGAAGGCCTTCTGCACAAACTGAACGCGTTCGACCTGCCTCGGGGCCTGATCCGGTGAATCGGGTCTTTTCCACAAACCAAGTAGTTTGTGGTCTTTCCTGAAAGACAACCCGAGAATACCTACCACAGAGAAGCGACATTAACGTCGGATCCTTTGATGTCGGTGTCCCAACTCCGAACCGAAGATTTTGAGTGATAAACATCCTGGTTCACTGAGAAATATGACCTCTCAGCGATATACACTAATAAAAATAGTGACTTGTTATTTTATGTAATCCTAACTTAAACTTTCATTAACATCAATACAATCTGAGGGTTCTAATTAAGTAAGGTTCCAAATGAAAAAATAATGAAACAAGATATTTTACCAAAACCTCTTAACCCTTTACCGCATCATGTGCCAAATATGGTACAAAGCGAAAATTATTTGATTTATATTACTTGAGAATGAATTTTGTCGTCATTTCTCATACACATACACATCACGGCCGAACCATTTTATCAACGAGTGCATTGGAAGAGGTCTTCAAGTTCATTCTTGTTAGAAATTTCATTTGTCACGCTTGGTGATCTTTGCTGTCAATTTACTCTTGTTTGAAAGTATTTTTCTACCGAGAAAAAATTATAGAGTGTTCAACAGTGATATTAAAAACATCTCTAAGTAAGTTCAGTAGTGAAAAGTTTCTCAGAACTAATGAACAATTCTGGAAACAAGTATGTACCTTATATGGCACATCATGCAATGATGGATCATCCTGACAATATGATCATGTTTTCAGGTATGGATTCCAAAGTATTAAAAATCCCTTGTATCGATAGTGAAGATTCTGATTTATCTGATGAGGATGATAAACCCCTTTTAGGTGTTGAATTACCTGTGGATAGTAATTTTGGAGAAACTCCCTTAGACGATGATGTTGCCAGTATCATGAATCGAGAATTTGATTCTTCAGATGATAATATACCCTTATCAACAATACAAAAACGACTTGAAAAAAAGTATACAATTGGGTAGAAGGAAATCTCAAAAAATCTGAAGAAGAGATAAAATTTACTGGTTCCCAGGATTTGCCTTTTTCTATATCAGAGTTAGAAACTCCTATCCAATTCTTCAAGTTTCATTTCCCAGATAGCCTTATAAAGTATATCTGTGAACAGACTAACCTTTATTCTGTACAGTGCCGTCCAAATAATCCTGCTAATATAAAAGAGTTCAAAATAGAGCAATTTATCGGTATTACCATGTACATGTCCCTTATTCAGCTGCCGACCACAAGGCATTAATGGCATAATACGATCAGCCATCTTGCTGTGAGCAACATGATGAGCTGTAATAGATTTGAAGAGATAAAGCGTTTCTTACACTTCAACAACAATGATGACATGACTGGAAACAGTCAAACTGGATACAATAAATTGTTCAAGATTAGGCCATTTCTTACCCAAATAAGAGAAAGATTACTGCAAGTTCCGAAAGAAGAGTATAAAAAACAAAATTACCATCTATAACATGATGTTCAAGCCTGCCATCATGTATGCTTCAGACGTCTGGGGACAAGCGGCTACGTATAATATCTCCACTCTGGAGAGATTGCAAAACAAGTTAATAAGGATGATTGTGAATGCTCCTTGGTTCGTGCGGAATGAAGCCATCCGCAGAGATTTGCAGCTACCTTCCATTCGGCAGTCCATTCAGTCGAGAAATCAGCGAGTTTTTGATTGTGCAGAAACTCATGAAAACCCATTAGTCAGGGAAACTATGGATTATACTGTAGACGACCCCTCCCGATATAGAAGGCCCCGACACTGTCGAATGAGGCCCCTATGTCCTCCGTTAAAAGATAAACAATTTTTTCATCCACCCCAGCCAGGTAGGGGTACACCGTAAAGGGCGGCACTGATGTCTAAGGACATTCATGCCGCCACACCATCAACACTCAACATCAGTTATGAACCATTTGTCCTTCTGGCAAACATCAGTCCAAAGGGTAAGGGAGCCAGGCTCCAACCTGTTCGAAACCAAGATGGCTATCGCATTAAAGTTTCCAAATTCAAATATTTTCAATATCCGTTGATTATCTAAATAAATATTTATTTACATTTATGTTTTATACTTTACGTTATTATATTGAAAACAGCAATCCAGATTTGTTGAATATATTATGTCGTAAAATGAAATTCCGTATACATCGATATCATCAACGGCTGAAGCCTCTCTACTCCAGGGAGTTGCTACATCTCATCATTGTTAAAAAGTATTTCTAGGTCATTGGGGGTATCATTTAATTAATTATCTCTATTTTGCTAAATTTTTGTGCAACTAATTTACACAATTTCCCGAGATTTTTTGGTCACAGTAAAAAGTTGAATTATTTCTCTTCACCTGCTTACAAATTATTATATCTCCTATTTGGAGATGATGTTTATGCTTTCTTTTTGCATCAACATATTCTTACTTTTTATAAGCATTTTGGATTAGTTAGGTGTACCTACGGCACTAAAAAGAAATTTTTGAATTTAAAATATTCTTTCGTGATAAGTTAATTCTAGTACATATCATTTCTTGGATGGCTGCTAGAAGGAATATAAAATGGAACAAAGATAAATACATATATGACTTTTATTCAATTAGAAAAACATTATAAATAAAAAACCATTACCAGCAAACATAATGTATGTTAAAAATACATAATTATTGCTTTTTGATTAGAATAATTGGTCTTAGCCCTCTTAAAATGTATTTAAGATGATAAGACTGTTAAATATTTTATTATATCACTGAAGACTGAATGAAAATAATATATCACTGCACTCAAATATCTTCAATAAATATCAATTTATGTTTGACAGAACTGTTATCCATGTCTCTCTAGGCCTAGTTTCATTGTATCACCATAATATTACCAGGGACACTAAAATCATCAAGAATATATTCATAATTCACATGAATATTTCAGAATATAATGCTCATTCCAAGAACTTTGGAATCCGTTATTATTAAACATATTCAGAATGATTTTAGGTCTGTTTTGTTTAGAAATATTCTACATATCCAGGACAAGCTAATACACTTTCGAAAGCCTTTGTTTAAGTTCCAAACAAGTCGAGTATATTCTTCATAATAGCTGTTACACTCTAATGTTCAACATCAACAACAATAAATAATCAGAAAACACGTAAATTAATTAATAGGGATTAAAAATAATTAGACGTACCCCATACAAAAAAAATATATATGGATTTCAGAAAATAATGATATCCCACTTTGAAATGTAAGTGCTCTATAATATTTTCGTTTTAATTATGAATTTTCATAAATATATGTCACTAGTTAATTGAATGTTGAATATCAAAATTTTCCGAATCTATTAAAATTATATCACTAATATTAGTTATCACCTTTTGTAACAATTATGTAAATATATAAAATAGTAAACTGATAAATATGGCAGCAAACATACTTATGCACAGCTACAAATATGAATTTCAAATAAATTAATTGAATCACAATAAATTTTATGTAACTGTGCATTTTTCTATTTACCATTTTTATTTTAGTCATAGATAATTTATCTGCGAATGAAATGTCTGGCTTTAAAATTATGAACGTATGTGTTTGAAGTCATAATTGAGAACTGCCATGAGAATTGTTAGCGATTTTTTTCACCTTATAAGTATTATTTTATTAAAGTATAACAAAACAAAATTTATTAGTGTACTATCTAAAGGATTAATCAATATAATAATTTCTTTTCAACTTTTTTTAATGATAAAAAATATGCTTAAAATTCTGTTATGTGAAAATGTCTTCGAGTTTTTTCATTGTATCAAGCAATTATGATTTTAAAGAGATTCAGTTGTTATCCTGAGAACAGTGTTGTAGCCACTTCGTCTTTTAATTTACTTACTCGAAGGTACCAGAAGTTATAATCAATTTTTCATTAAAAAAAAGTGGAATGTAAGGTGTAGATATCAAGACACAAACTCATATTATTCAAGAAGAATTTTTACCCGAAGCTCAAAAGGATAATCACGTAACATTGTTAAACAGACATTCAAACTAAAATAAGCTACATACTTGCAGCATCCCAATTCACTTATGATAAAAAACTTTTGGGTATAAACATTTTTCAATCCAATAAGCTAGAAAATATGTTCTTGAAATTTTAAGTACAGTTAAATCCTAAGAAACTTCCACTAGCTACCTTATTTGTGACTATATATACAATTTACCTAAAAAAAAATTATAAGGCCTTTGTTTTGAAAATCACTATAAAAATTGTGTTATTGAGCATTTTCACTTGAAACAACTATATACTTTCATTATACCTTGTATCGTTACTGATTAGTGCCTGAAACTACCGATATAATATTGATAGTAGTCTGACATCGACTACTACTCAGTGGTTTCATTGAAAAAAATTTTGGTCACAACTATATCTCCAGTGCTAAGTGTTTGAGTGCCAACGTTTTGGTGATTTTCCTTAGCCACACCTGGGTCATTATCCTTAACACTACTAACATACTCATTAGTAGGAGACATTACCCTTTCTTGTTTGTATCCATTATTCAGCTTACCGTGACAATTGCATATGCATTTACTAGAATTTTCACTAGGTAATAGCGCAGCGCTGCTCAATATAGACTCCAACCTATCAATTTTATCTATTCGATCAATCTTACTATCATTTAATATGGAATCAACAAGTTGCATAGATTCTGTGAGACTGGTTGGTTCAGAGTTACGAGGCGATGTTATATCACTTTCCAGACTAGGGTAGTCTTGATCATTATCTGCATCTTCATCTGAACTATCTCCATCTCGGTCCTGACCCAAACTCTCTAACTTCTCCAGTTTTTTGGCGACCTTTGCAGACGACTTTAATTTTTCTTTTTCATCATCGGTGAGTTCAATGTACCTAAAAGCAGGCACAGCCAATAATAAAATCTTTTTTCAAATTCTGTCCACAGGATATTTGAAAGAAGAGTTGAAAGTATTAAGGAAATGTCATTAATGAATCATTTACTCACCTAAGTAACCTTACTTCCCTGTTACTCAAAACAACACTTTTTGTAGCTTGAGCTAATTTCTGCCTCAGTTCTGCAACTTCAGTTTCAGTTTTCCTCTGACGTTTCTTCATTTTCACAGTATCTGGACTTATTTGCATAAAAATCTAAAAATAAAAAAAATTAATCAGACTTGATCTATAATAAAACCATCTCATATTTATTTGAAATATTAATGAAATGAGAAATGTCACACCAAACTGACCACTACCTGAGACACAATAACATTTTTTTTTATTACTAATATAATACACATTATTCCCATCTTAAAAGATCAAACTGAAATCAATTCAATTATCCACTTAGTTAGTTGTATCACTTTGTTGAGCCAGTCAAAAAGTTCACAAAGAGTTTTTTGCAGGTAACACTTCATTAACACAAAAGTAATTCTGGAGAGAGAAAAAATACTAAATTCTGAATTTCATATCAAAATTTAAAATGGAAATTTCTTCATTTATATAGTATCCCAAAAAATAATCAACCTGTTCTTCACAAAGATCCAACATTAAAGACTTGTTTTCTTCTTTAATAGCCTTGGTCATCTGATAGTAAATCTTATCACTGGTCAAACTCAAAACATCAGCTGAAGCATACAAAATCATTTCTCTTGTCAAAGGCCTTCTTGACCAATATTTTTGGTCCCTCTTGTAAATATTTTTGAGTTGTTCTTTCATAGGGTTGATGGGAGCACCATAACATTCACACAAGGCATTCAGCGCAATACTTTTGGCCTTATAGACAGGTCGACCAGTTTCCTGATATGTCAAAATTGCATGGGCAGCCTGAGTATCGAAGACTGTTCTTAATGTTATATTATATTGATTATATAGATTTACCGAGTCGTTTCTACAGTCATGAACAATCTAAAACAAAACAGGTTCAATGGATTAGTTTTTGAATATGTAAACATGTTTGTAAATTGAAGCACTCTTTACCACCACAAATGGCACTATTTACCTTCACAATATCTTGAGATTCCAACAATGTCCTCAGTCCGTACTCTATCATTTGTGGGCAGGATATCAAATCAAAAACATAAGAAAACCCATTCATTGTAGCTATTTGCATAAGAGTTAACTGCCCCTTGACTCCCAAATTAATCCCTTCACAATCAAATGCGACAACAACCCTATCACAAGTAAATGGCCAGGGGGTATCTTTATATCTATTAACCTTTTTAAGTATATCCTCAGTAACCAATTGACATTCACGAATACTGCATATTACACGAGTATTTTGAAATAGTTTTGATTTCCATGAATCAGTTTGGGGCATATTCTGATTCAAGAGACTCTGACGTTCACGACCAGTATTTTCCTGAAGGGTCTTCAATACCAGGTTGTTTATTCTTTGTTTTAAAGATTGATTATACGTTGAATTCGGTTTTGTACCATACTTTTGGGGCTCAGCTTGAGGATTAAACATAACTTGGTTCACCTGAGTGTCTAAAGATGGTTTACCCGGTTTACCTAAAAAATATTATGAATTGACACATAAACATAGAAAAATCTTAGATTATCGATTATACCTCTCACTAGCTTATGAATAGAAGGAAATCCAGTTGAGTATTTTTTTGTTTCAAATATTTAAAAAATCAATTATCAAATAACGAAGTTGAAAAATATATTGACCCAAATAAACATCTTATATCCTTCTGAAATCATTACTGATATGTCTTTTTTTATGATAAAAATGTTGTTTGACCCAAAGTGAATACTAATAACTCTATGAAAAATTTGCAGAACTGAACTGGAGCTAGTTGAATGAAATATTAAAATTATTTTGAAATGTGGAGACACCTATGATATTTTTATTGACGTGTTATAACATAAAACAATGTTACTCAATTTCATTGTCCTGTACAAAAATTATCAATGGAAGACTTCGAGTGCGAACACAAATGTTATCTTACCAATTTTGAAATTCACTTCGATTTTATTTTCTTCATTTTGTCCATTGAAAGGAGTAGACAAGGAGGATTCTGGCGATGAAGATGGCTCTGGGCTCAGTGATTTCATTTGGGCTTCATTCAATTTCTGCTGAAGTTTTGGTTGTTTCAACCTATCACTGATAGATTTTGGAGACAGTTGTACAAAGTGAACTTTTTCTTTCTCTTTTTCTGTTGGTGGCATTGGTGGAGGGGACAATTTTTCTGGTTTTTCCTGATTTTCCAATTTATCTAGGTTGTCATTATTTGTATCAATCCACAAGTTTTGCACATTTTTTATATCTTCAATATTTTTGTGTTCTTTAATTAATGTAACTTGTGTCAATATATGTTTTTGATTTATTTTTGGTGGTTGTAAGAGTGTTACTAAATTAGAGTGTATGTGGAAGCTGTCTGAAAACAATCTCAGGAAACTGGTAAAGTGTGTTGGAGTGTTGAATAAATTCGACCAGATTTTCTCTGCAAGATTACAACTCACAATTTGGAATAGCTGATCAACGAGAATGGGGCCTTTCACCTAAAAATCAAGTCACAGAGATATAAGTTCACAGTTCAAAATTAAAAAAACATTCATTACCTCTATACATTGGGCTAAAAAATCTAGTAAAGTCTGTGTCTCTTGTGGGTCTATTTTAACATCAGGTTGAAAATGCAGTTCTGGAGGACAATGACTTTTTACAGATTCAAAGTTTGCTAAAACTACAGTTTCCTTCTCGTCATCAATAGTAAAAGCATCAGGATGTTTCAATAGGAAATCCCTGAATTCATGGAAGTGTTGTCCAGATACATGGCGTACTTCTGGACTAGCTTGGGATCTATGACCCAAAAGACTTCGTATGGGCACTTCAGTTCCTTCACCATACTGGGCCAGTTTTTCGGAAAAATATTCTATTGCCTGTGTATTGTAATCTTTTCCACCTGGACGAAAAAATACAATTAGCATATGTGTAACGAGCATACAGTATCACAGGAGTTTTATTGATATTATTTGTACTATGTGTTAATAAAACAATAATGATAATATACAGAAGACATACAGAAATATCATCAAAAATTGAAAGAGAAAGATGTTCTCTATTTGAAAGCAGACAAAGGCAATAAAGTTTGATATTGGACAAGTCAAATTACTTTAAGAAAATTGATAATTTAATCGAGAACAATCCCTATAATAAATTACCAAGAAAACCATTGCCTAACATGGTTTCAGATGTAAAACCATACTCAAGAAATGTCAAAATTTGGTCACACCAGCTTTGAAGAGGAGTCTATAGGTTTCTATTCCTACAGTTCCTAAAACATATGGTAAACCAAAAATTCACAAGAATGGCAGGTCAGTGCTACCAATTGTATCCGTCAAAAATTCCAACACTTATATAATTACTAAATGGCTAACCAAACAGTTTGAAACTCTCTAAATCTCGCAATTGAGTTTTAGTGTTGTTAATTCATAGAGAAGGTTAAGGATGTAAAGTTGCAAGTTGCAAAAACTGTTTCTACAGACAGTATAATGACACAGCAATGGGAACCCACTGGCCCCTTTCATAATTTATCTATTCATGAGCAGATTTGAATTGGAGCAACATATGAATTAGATTACTTTCTTCTGACTTGGATTCGATATGAAAACAATGTTTTTGCGATTTTTGATACAAAGAAATCAAAGGTAGAGGACTTTCTTTCAATTTTCAACAACAGTACCCCAAATATTAAGTTTACATAAGAAACTGAAAACAAGGATTAGTTATCTTTCTTGGATGTTTTAATGATTAGAAGTAACCAGGGTCTGGAATTTAACGTCTAAAATGTCTATAAGAAAAATACCAGTCTTTTAGATATGTTCCTGATAGCTCATACCATTGTCCACAGCACACAATGGCATGTTCAAACTTTCTTATCCACAGGCTTTTCAAGTTACCCTTGATTCAAAAAAGGTAAGATATTGACAAGAATGTTATCAGGGACATAGCTAAAAGCATGGGGTATTCCTCAAATATTGTAGATAAGGTAAATAGGAAACAATAATTAATGGAGAATCTTCATAAATCTTCGACTTTTCGAAGGCATATATTCAAATTTATTTGTTCTCAGCGGCGGCTCGTCAGAGGAGGCAAATCTTGCTTTTCGATTCATTCACCTGTTCAAAATTATGTACCAGACCATACCAATTATGATATTAACACGTTATCTTTCCACACCTTCAGTGAAGTGGTAATTGAAAATAAATTGAAAAACCTAGATATCTCAAAAGGCGCGGTCCTGACGGAATTCCGCCAGTATTGTTAAGGAATTGCTGTCACAATTCATCGCATCCCCTTAAAATACTTTTTCAAAGATCATTTGATACAGGGATTTTTCCAGGTGTTTGGAAAAAATCTTTCCTTTCTCCAGTATTCAAAAGTGGAAACAGAAATGATATTCATAATTACAGGGGTATCTCGAAAATTTCTTGTATTCCCAAAGTATTTGAATCTTTAATTACGGATGAAATATTCAATAATTTCAAACACATCATAATAGATGAACTACATGGATTCTACAAGGAAAGGTCTACTGCCACCAATTTGGCTGTCTACCAAAATTTCATCACAAATAAGCTTGAGCAAGGGTTCCAAGTTGATGTTATCTACACGGACCTTGCTAAAGCCTTTGATTCAGTTTGTCATGAACTATTAATTTTAAAACTTAATAATCTTGGAATAACGGGCAGATAATTGAAATTTATTGAATCCTACCTTTCCGGTAGATCGCAGAATATGAGGATAGCTGACAGTGTCAGAAACAATTCATTTGACTTCAGGGGTTCCGCAAGGTTCGCACATTGGGCCTTTATTATTTCTACTCTTTATTAATGATGTTAAATCAGTGTTTAAACACTGTAATATCTCTCTGTATGCGGACGACCTCAAGTTTTTCAAAACAGTGCAATCTACCAATGATATTGAATGTATTCAGAATGACCTAGATAGCTTTTGTACCTACTGTGATACGAATTGTCTAAAAGTTAACATTAAGAAATGTAATGTGTTGAGATTTTATAGAATAAGACAGCCTGTTATTGGAAACTACTCCATTAATGATGTAACTCTACAAACTGTCAAAAGCTTATGCGATTTGGGAATTACTTTCGATGAAGGTTTAAGCTTTATTGATCATGTCAATAATATCTGCAATAAAGCATTCAGAATGCTCGGATTTATCAAAAGGAATACCCGCCATATCACAGATTATGATGCTATAAAGTCATTATACTTTTCACTAGCTCGGAGTATTTTGGAATATAATAGTGTTATTTGGTGTCCTCTTTATGCTTGTCATAAAGAGACTTGAAAAAGTGCAAAATCGCTTCTCTAAATATATAATTTGGAAACTTGGCCTACCCTACTTTGGATTTACCTTGCAAATGAGGCTGTCTGTATTAGATTTATTATCACTTGAGGACAGACGTAAACTTGCAATGGTTCTATTCCTTCATAAAATAATAAACTTCCACTACAATTGTTCAACTATTTTAGATGACCTTTGCCTTCCTGTTAACTCAAGATCCTTAAGAAGCAATCAGATTTTTTTGTCTGTATTAGATTTATTATCACTTGAGGACAGATGAAAACTTGCAATGATTCTATTCCTTCATAAAATAATAAACTTCCACTACAATTGTTCAGCTATTTTAGATGACCTTTGCCTTTCTGTTAACTCAAGATCCTTAAGAAGCAATAACATTATTTCATTTAGGTTGCGATTCCACAAGATTAACAGCTATGGCTCGATGGCAATAAATTGTAGGCTTCAAAAAAATTTCAATACATACTTTTCAGAACTTGATCTTTTTCATTTGTCATATTTAAAATTCAAAAAAATGGCAATCAGACGACTTCATTTAGAGATTGTTCATTAAACTTCTGAATAGTCATTGTTTCTTTTAATGATCATAACTTATTCTAGTGTTTGTACATGTCTTTTTTTTGGAATTTGAACTTAATGTACCACTTGACAAATGAAAATGCACACCTTTATTTATTATGAAGTAATAACTTGACTCTAGGGTTTGTTTGCACATTGATGTAACATTTGGGACTTTGTTACAATTCTGTAATGTACTTGAGATAGTTACGTTTTTGTTTTATAATTTAATCGATCATTAGTGTTGAATATCTTTAAGCTTATTCTTGTCTTTTTAATATTTTTTCTCTTTTTATGTTCCATTTGGTATTTTATTAATATGTCGTGGTGTACTGGACCAATAAAAAATAAATAGGTTTATTTATTTTTAAGCAATTACAATAGTTTATATTAAGGATTTTACTTATTGGGTTCATAACTGAACTCTATTGCTTGATTGGTTTCAACAATTGAAACTATCTTGATGTACCATTTGGGATTATCATTACTTTACTATTAATTTTTAATATAAATACATAATATGCCCGAAAAAACACTATCACTCACTACGTAGTACGTACCACACTGTATCCTGCATCAACAAACGTCAAACGCACCGCCCATGAACGAATAAACCATCAACCCGAAATAGTAAATGCCATACGTTGCAAGGGAGGCAAGCCTCCAACCGCTTAAAAAAACACAAGCTCCGCGAGACCGAACCAATCAGATACATACTTCCCGATTTGTAATTTCATTTACGGAAATTATAGCGTTAGAGGAGGATAGCCTCCAGTTGGTTTTCATTAGTGTACGACTGCGTTTGTTTTTTATTCAATTATTCGGGCGGGATGCCGTGACGGACCGGGACTGAAAAATATTTCGGTAAATCGTTTTAGTGTTTCTTGATAATATTTGTTATTTGTGTATAAAACAGGCACTATTGTATTATAGCAGTGCTTTTTGGTAATATTTTTAATGTGTTTTTAAAGTATGGCATATATTATTAAGGAAAATATAAGCAAGGAGATTGAAAGTGTTTCTTTTTTTGCATGGGAAATTGATGAAACTACCGATATTACCTGTACATCACAACTTTCAATCGTTTTTAGGTATGTCAAAGATGGTAATGTGGTAGAACGTTTTATGGATTTTCATGATGTTTCATCTGGGCGCACAGCTGACGATTTGTCAATTTTTTAATTCGTACGTGTGACATCTATAATTTTAGGCAAAAGTTAATTGCGCAAACCTATGATGGGGCTGCGGTCATGGCTGGCCATTTAAATGGTTTACAAACTAAAATAAAGTCCATAGCTCCTCATGCACTTTTTACGCATTGTCATGCCCATGCCCTAAATATAGTATTCAGCAAAGCGTGTAACAACATAAAATATTGCCGCGTATTTCTTTTAGTTTGTCTGGATTTTCAGCATTGTTTTCAAAATCCACCAAAAGAAGCCATGTTTTGAATGAAATATGTGGCAGCCGAATGCCAACTTTTGCTGCTACGCGTTGGAATTCTACATCTAGAGCAGTAATTTCAGTGCATTTAAACAAAGAAAAATTGATTGATATCATTGATTTTATCCTAAACAGTGACGATTTTAAAACGACCAAAGTCTTAGGGAGGCGAGAGGTTTCAAATATATTTTAAATGATCACAAGTTTTGTTTCTTGTTAGAAATATTTAAATTAATATTTGAACATACCGATGTTGTTTTTTCTATTCTTCAAAATAAATCAACAGATATTAATTACTCAAAACAACGGTTAAACAATTTAACAGAAATTTTGATGAATTTTAGAAATAACGATACTTACATTTTTTAATGCTCAACACGCTCCGGAGAACGGCCACAGAATAAATGAAACGTCTCTGACAGTAGTCTTTTGGATGCTTTTGAAAGTCAGGAAATAGCACAGTGAAGTATTAGAACTATTAACAGTGACTAAAGTCCAATTCTGAACAACCCATTGTACTCTTTTTTACGAATCACTCTATTAAATTTTGCGGAAAATCTCACGAGAAAATTTTCCGCAAATTTCTATCAGAAATAATTGATGTGTATCCGAAACTGAAAGTGTACCTTGTTAGATATAAATAAAGGCCAATTTTATAATTAGAATTTGCGGAACTTTCACGAGAAAATTTTCCGCAAATTTCTACCCGAAATAATTGATGTGTATCCGAAACTGAAAGTGTACCTTGTTAGATATAAATAAAGGCCAATTTTACAATTAGAAATTAGTTTCCTTCATCTCCTGAAGACGCCAACTTGGTTTGTGAAACGCGACTCAAGAAGAGTATTGAAGTTTTTGGTGATTGGGAAAAGTACTTGTTTCCAAATTTATTCTAAGTCAGAGGTTCCAGTTTAACCTTTATAACAGTATATAACCAGTATAACACTTTTTTATTGCATCTTACTGCACTACTGAATGTTATGATACAATATTAGGAATTATTATTTGTTGTGTAATTGGCCGCGGAGGTAGTGCGCCCGACTCACGATCGGAAGACCGTGGGTTCGATTCCCGCCTTGACCAGATATTTTTCTCGAGAGAATTTATCTGGTTGAAGCTGGAATGATTCTACAACCTTGTTAGGAATCACACGTTAAAAGGTAATACCTCGTTAGTCCTTAGCTCGCACAAGTTTCTCCACTTCTGAGAGTTGTCGTTCGTATGGGGGTGACAGCTGATTAACGAAAAAACAGATTTTAAACAGATTTTTTCATTGAAAAATTTTTTAAAAAAAATCGTTTGCCTTATACTTCTTTGTCATTATAAAGGGAATCCCAAAATGAAAACATTTCTTTGAATGACAGGGTGTTCAGGCGTTCACCCTGTATAGTCACTCCTCTCCCGGATGCCAGACACAACCCTGAGGTCCAAGAGAAGAACAGGCAGAAGTTTAAGGCAGAAGTTTACAAGCATTCAAACTGAACAAACACTAAGTTACTATTTCACATTTCTATCTGTATGTTATTGAATAAATAAGTTTATGTTGTCGTTTTTCCAAAACTAAATTCAGTGCAACTTCATTACAATACCCAACATAGGGAACATACCAGGTGGAAGCAGAATAATTAATGAATGATGAGGTCCCGTATCATTGGGACAAATAAAGAAATGGGATCTGTCAAAGGAGTGCCGAAAAAAGTGTCTGCATGTATACAGATTGGATTCCCAAATAACAATCATTCAGTCACTTGTTGGAAGTTTTCTGGAAGTGAATTATGAAGTGATCGGGCCTGTCTTCACACGCCATTTTTGTAAAACTGTTTGGTGACAATCTTACAATAAAGTCTTCTTTGAATAGGTTATGGATTTTCATCAAGTATCGGCCAATTCCATCATATACCTCAAGGAAACAATTAATATTATTTTGAATTGCTACAGATCTTCGAGCAGAGATGTGCAGTTCTTTCTAAAAAATATTTATGATGTTTTGTATTGTTTGTATAAACCTAACCTAAATTTCATCATACATGGAGATTTTAATTTTGACTCACACAAAAATATTCTTTATCTGAAATCCCATCATGTTTTGATTTGCATCCAATGGTGAGATGGCCAACTCGTATGACATATGCTACATACACTACAATAGACCAAATTTTCATAAATTTAGATAACATGGGTCTGTCTTACTGTATTTTCAAAAACAAAATATCTGATCAAAGAATAAATTTATTTGCTAAAACTTAAGAACCTACAATAACTGAGATTAATAGAGTTTTGATAAAAAAAGTAGACTCGAATTTTTAAAAGCACTAAAAATGAAATTGTTTTCTTATCAAAATATGGAATAAATGAAGGAAACATTTCTGTATGATTTCAATTAAGGTTTTCCCAAACTGACAGAAAATGCAGCGAATATAGCTTCCCTCTTCAATCAATTTTTCATCAAAGTTCCTATTGATCTATCCAATACTACTAAGAACTGATAATATTAGGTTACTTAATAATTTCAATAGGGGAAGTATGTGCTAACAGTCCCCAGTTTTGAAAAATAAATAAAATGTCTGCTGAATCATATTACTTTCCAGAATTGTATTTGGAGAATATCCTTGAGGATATTATTGCTCCCCTGATCCATCTGGTTGATTCAACATTTTATTATCATTTGTCAATCAAGTAATTGAATACATTGTTGCTGATGAGTGCCCAGAATCAATCTTTTGTGATTCAAGTCGAGCATTCAACTGTTCAAATAGTTCAAATCATTTTTGAAGGTTTGACAACAATATGTATCTATACAAGTAAACTATGCTGTTACAAAATACAATATAATACCTGACTAGCAATAACTTGGCACAGTGGTAGTGCGCCCGACTCAATCGGAAAGTTGTGAGGTCGATCTCAACCTCAACCAGATATTTTCCTCGAGAGAATGTATCTAGTTGAAGTTGGGTTGACAGACTGCGAATAGCCACGATGCTCTCTAGGTGGTTTGGCAAATTATTAACATTGCCTACCCAGAACACGAGGCTTATGACCAATGTAGTTGATGTCGCTAACAACAACAAAAAATCTGACTGGATCTTAATATAGGTGTCCCACAAAGGTCACTTCTGGGATCTGTATTGTTTATTTTGTACAAGCTACTATTATAATGATGACAGCTTATGAACAGTGAATTACATAAAAATCACTTTTTCTCTTTCAGCATGTAGTCCTTACTGAAGAGTGAAAATTACCCTTGAAAAATGTTATATCATTACTTTTTGATACGTTACGTTCCCATCCTTAAAAGTTTCTCAATCAATAATCCAACTGCCACTTGATATGGAACACAGAAATACTCAACAACCTTTTCTGTTATCAAGAACCCCATTTGAAAAGATATGTAAGAGAATGGAGAGAAAAATGTATTCCTATCTTACCAGTTGATATCTGGTGACCGAAACAAATTAATGAAATATTTGAAATTTTACTTCTTCACAGTTTTTATTGGAATTAATTACTTTTCTCAGTAAAAGAAAATGAAATGTTTCTCTTGAATAAACTGAATGATGTTCTCATATTCATTCCTCGACATTTTTTAAACTCACTAGTAATAACCAACATTCATATAAGTTGAATGTTTTGACTAGATCAGTAAACATTTGAATTCATTATACACATATAGTGAATAGAATCATGATTTGTCATGTCGTAGTACATACGTAGGCATGAATAGAAAATAATTTAAAACAATGTTGAAAACTTAATGTACTATTTACTCACCTGAACTATCTTTATTGTTGCTCTGTTGAAACTTATTGATGGTAACATAATCCCCATCCATACTGAACAGCGAAGGGTACTGAGCCAAAAACTTCTTAAGGCCACTTTGGCTTCCTCCCGCTATCTGTCTCATTTCTTTGGTAAATCCTTTTGACCCAAATTGACAACTCAAATCATGTAAAGTTCTAGGTTCTCCTTTATCAAGTAAACGTTCAAAGAAGAATAGAAGAGTCATATTTCGAGCCATTTCATATTGCATCGCTTCCATTTCTGAAGATTTTCGTGTCAATTGTTTCAAAAGTGGCAGATTCTAGATTCCGTGTTCAACATTGAGTTTGGATTCTGTATATCCAATAGATATGTATCTGATAATTTTGAATTTCAGTATCTACTGCCTTTTAATAATATTAATGAAATTTTCATTATAAAAAGGCACTGAAAGGGCACTTCTTTGTAGTGCTTAACAATGGTTTTAAAAGTTTCAATATTTTTCTTTGTTACATTCAATTTAGTTTGACTTACGTTCTTCACTATTTTTAGTTTAAGACCAATTTATACGCAGAAAATTAAATAAAAGTAAAAAATTAAAAAAATCTTATGACCCCTAAAACGTCAAGTTGGCTGCCGCCATCTTGATTTGTTATTTTTCATGTTTTCTTATCTTTCTTCTTGGGTCACATATTAAAAGCTAGGCCTCTCGCCAGAACCTAGTTTTTATACGCATGTGCGGTTTCAGGTGGTTTTAACTTCAACCTCACTTTTCACTCAACGATCCTTTGTTATTGTTTACAACTTTTATTTCAGTAACTATTGGAATATAATAAAATTTGTTAATAGGTGAAATATCTTTTACACAGGAGAATGTTTCGCAAAAGAGGAACAGTTTGTGTTGTTCATAGTTGTTTTACAAAAACTAGGGAAAATACAAGTTTGTTCGGAATTCTACAAGGTAGGCAAATGTTAATAATCTTCATTTCACTGCATTATCTCAACGCAGCTTCTTGAACATTGTATTTATAATCATTTGGAAATGTCCAATTTAAATAAAATTATATTTAGTTCATG